CCCCAAAACCCCAAAACCCCAAAACCCCAAAACCCCAACTTTGGATGATTTTATTGAAAATTGGTAAGAACGTAGAAACAAGGGTGAGGCACCAAATTTATGTGTCGATGCTAATTGGATAAATTTCTAAAAGATATTGCAAACAGTTTGTGAAAGATATCCTCTGGTAAACTCTCTGCATGAACTTATAGCTAGATAGACTATGTGCAGCAATGATAGTTTAGGTATGTGTCCAGAAAGTTATTTAGGACTAAATATTTCTTTAATAGAGAGATCCATTTTTAAGGTCTCCTTAAACATTTCTCGATCTGACCCTGATCATACACTTTTGGGCTGGGACAAAGCATTGAAGCTTGGGTTATAGGTAGGAGAAATATTCCCATGATCGCTGCTGATGCTCCCTTTTTGAGAGGTCAAGCCATAGAGAGGGAATCTGTATTGAGCACTTTCTTCATCAGATGGTGGAAAGAACCCAGGGTGGTCTCTTTTAATATGCTCAACCAAGTTCTTTTTATGGAGGTATTCATTCGAGCATAATTTGCATTTAAATTCTCGAATTTTGAGATGAGCTGTCTTTATATGAACCCTAAGGTTATACTCCTACAAATTACTATAACTAGATTACACTGGAGAATGCTTTCAAGCAGCCAGGCTCTTGGCACAGATATTTCTGGATTCTCTTTGGACTACTCTTAACTTCATTTACTCTTTTCTCAAAGTAGTCTTTAACAGAACTGTCATTGAACAAAGTCTCAGGCTCAGATTTCTTGCTCTGCAGATTAGGAGAGTTCAACTACAGGATTAGACTCTGATGTTTGCTTACCTTCATTGAGCTAGGACGGCTATTAATATTATCATACTTGTAATAACTATGTTCTGAGTCAGAGCTTTTGAATCGTTTTCTGAATTGAGCCATAAATACTGAATCCTCCTTCCTCGCCTGGAGACTTAAGATCTTTTCCTGTAGTTGTTTGTCTTCAAAGTCTGTCTCTTTCTTTTCTTCGGGCTGTTTATGTTCTTCAGCCTTGGGCAAAGGAACCTCTGAGCTTTTCTCTGTGATGTCGAGGATTATCATGTTTTTCTCAATTTTGTGCTCATGCTTCTTAATATGAGCCTGATATTGACGTTTGCTTATTAATTTATTGCAGTATTTTCATTCCTTTTTATTAGAGTTCTCATGAATTTGTTCCATATGTTTCGCTAGTTGCTTCTTTTTCTTAAACCTAAATTTTATTTGTTCTGTGCCAGGAGGAAGCATAGTTGTTTCCTCTTCACAGATCTTGCAGACATATTTCTCTTCGTGGCAGGACTTTATATGGCGCCGGAGGTGGTAGTTATCAATGAATCCGTTGCTGAGACAGTCAGGATAGGAACATTTGAATTTCCTAGCCTCATCACTATGGACCATATTCTTATGCCTAGTCATATGGTCTCTTCGCTTGAATAACTTATCGCATTCGGGACATTTGTACTTTCTCTAAGTATTAATCTCCAGTATGCTTACCTCTTGGGTGTGGGTCACCGTGTGCCTATCATAATGAGACTTTTTGGTGAACTCCTTATCACATTCTTCACACCTGTAGGCCATCAACACGCTGTTAATTAATATTACCATTTTCAGGGGATTTATTAATTTAAGGGGTTTTGGGGTTTTGGGGTTTTGGGGTTTTGGGG